GATAGGGTATAGCTTCTTGAAGATCTGGAATATGAAGGAAGTTACGATACACATTCCATCGCGTTGGTAGCTTAAATATCGGGTGGGGATATGGAGTACTCTAGTGGCACTGGAGTTCATTTTAGGCCACTCGCTTGATCAGCTAGATCCCCCCGCGACTGTCGCAAAAATCATTGGTAGCTGCCAAGCTTATCCTTTGCTTTGTGGGATTCGGGCTCCTAGGTTCTTTAGGCGATGTTATAAGGAGTAATTGCGCTTTCAGGCAAGCACCCTTTGCTTCCAGTTTGCATTCAGGGAGTGACATTGATAGCGAGACCTGCGCATGGAGGGCTCGCATATTTAGGGATTTGGACCGCTGGTTGCGTGCCTTTGCCTTGGGATTGCTCATGGTGCCCCTGATACTCTAAATTGTGATTTCATGAAAGCCGGGTTGGTGCCAATGATGGCTAGGGGAGACTAAGGCAACCGAGCCAAATCGTTGCGATTTAAACTGGTAGGGAGTGACGGTTGGGCGGGTAGGATGGAAGACACTCGCGCGTATCCGAATTTCATGGGATTATTGCATTGCTAATCCAACTGGGTGAGCATATATGCGACCGGTCTCCGCATCCGTCATATACCCCTAGGATGCACTTTCAGTCACCTGGGTGGAAATAACTCTATATTAGAGTATCTTCGCATGTATGTATTGGTGTTTTTGTACAACTTCTCGATCCAAGAGCTCGTTTGGAGACTGATCATCGTTTGGCTTATGTTTTGTCGACTATAGGGCATGATCCCTGACTGGGCGGTTAGTCTATTGTTTGGTGTGAGGCTAGGGCTATATATTTTGGAAATTGGTCAACCAATAGCACCTAGGGAATCTTGACAATGGGATTGCTGCGCTGAAGCTATTACTAATTAGTCTCGAGCGCCCTATGGATTACCGCTTCTTGAAAAGCTTCTGCATAGGTGTCGATTCCTAACACCTGGAAATGATGGTTTCTTGCGGTATATTAGCCCCGTTGCTGGGGAGGGCTAAAGGATTAAATTACTTGAGACCCCTCAACTGCCGATATCGATGGCTTATTGGGCAGCTTGTTGTGAGTGCGCCTGCTTCTATCAAGTGCAGAGACTGTTCTGTTGCTACCCGGGTTCTTCTATCTAAAGACGAACCTTCTATTCTGATTTCCTGGCCTATAGGAACTTTAGGCGCGCCTAGAGCTACGGCCGGTGCTTGGGATATTGGCTGACGGATAGAGTAGTGACGCGGTAGATCAACTGGCGCTGGCCCTAATATTTTTGTGGAACAGGTGAATTATCCTAACCCCACGGTTCGGTCACAACCCCTTCTGGTATCTTCCGTGCTCGACTCTGGCACACTGACGGTTTAAAGTAAGTTTTTTCAGAGCCTGCTCCCTGGGACGTGGTTGTGGTTGAAGATTGCCTCGTCGAAGCGTATACTTACTTTATCCAAATCTGCCCGGTTGCCGAGAATATATCTGTGGTAAAGTGATTCCTAGTGCTTGCGCGGGCAGGCCGGCAAGCGTTTCGGGAACAGGCCAGTCATGCTTAATCACTCGGTCCTGGAGGCTTTCTGGTTCTTTGACGGGCTGATACCGCAGAAGCGCCCACCCGTGCCTGAATCGGAGGCATAAATATTGAATGGCCAACTTGTGTTAGCTGACACCGTTGGGATATCTCCTGCGCTGGCTGCCCCCAGTGTTTTGCGTTGCCAATGTGTCTGCGTTGACACCGAGACCTGAGAAGGGTCGGGTAGGGGTTGGTAAGAGGCTTTCAACATGGGGACCACAATGAAGAGCTGGGATCTTTGGGTGGGTACTTGGAGCATGACTAAGAGGAATTCCGATGCTGGGGCCCAGCCCCTTGACCCGATCTAGAGAATCAAGGAGTTGGGATTCTGATGTTGGAATTAGAATGGCTGAAAGTACGCACGTACCCGTATGATACCGCTCTGGGAGGTTGAAAGTATGAACGCTCAATAATTTATGTGCTCTGGGGGATGTCCGCTGCACGATGCTAACTGAACAAAGGAGAAATCTCATGGATATTTTTCTGAGCCAGTGGTAGAGTGAAGGTAATCTCGTGGATAATTCTCAACCGCCAATTCCGCGTTATTGGCTGTCCAACATACTTGGGGCAGTATGATGCCGATCTTTCCCATTCGGTGTGAAATTTTTTTCGGATGCACAACGGGGTGCCGGTTCGCTTGTTGGTGGGCGGAATACCGCTTCATGATTATGGGGCAAAATGGCCCAATACGGGGTAGAGGAGCTAGAAATCTGTCCTACTTCTTGGCGTGAGATTGGATCAGGTGTTCGAGCCTGGGGTCCGGAGTGAGCCGAGGACCATCTAAACCAGGCTGGCAAGTCCGCTGATCAGGGATTCCAAAGAAGTAACGAGAAGGGTTGCAATACGATCCGCTGCCACTTGACTGGGTCTGGACGGAGTTCTCTCCAGCTGCTTGTCAAAACTGCATGTCTCGGGAGAGATAAGGACTGGGGGAGAATGACCCTCACGGAAAGTCACTCGCCTCTTTTGGCAATATGCAGTTGGAGCTTTTCGACAGCTGAGAGCTGAGCGGATGCATCCAGGAGCATCAGAAACCGAAGTGGGGGAGTTGTGGACAAAAGGGAATTGATGTGCGAATATTGACCACGGGGTGGGACCCGTACAGATACTGGTCCAAAAAAAAAACTCAGCTCACGCAGGCTTCCGGGGAAAGAACCGAATTGTGGTATATCAAACGAACCGGGGGTTAATTTTGGGGGAGAAAGAGTTCGAAAATGGGGCAGGCGAGTCAAGTAGCGAATACAAGGGTAAATTGATCGGTTCTAGGCTCAGACACCAGCGATTCAACTCGATTGTGTAATATGCAAAGGAAGAAGGGAGGCGTGAGCAGCACAGTTAGTGTCATCATAATATTATCATATCCATAGCCTAGTGCAGCAAAGTTACCCAAGGATTGGAGGTGGCGATTCCCGGTCAATTACTTACGTTTGTAAGGGAGTAGCCCTAAATGTGCTACTCTTTGAAGAAACCGGAGAACTATCATGGCTGGGAGCAGATTGAATTACGACAGGTCTGAGTAGCATGGAAACCCTATTGACAGCGAGCTAGGGGAAATGCATCTACCACCGGCCATCGAATTCGACAGTTATAGCAACCACAGAGACTATTGATTGACGAAGTTTTGATTAAATAAAAAAAGGAAAAAAGAAAGGCTGCACTCCTGCTGGAGGGCGCAAATGAACAATCAAACTGACTGCAGCACTATTCGTTTACCCATCGACTATTGGGTGGAGTAGGAGAAGCAAGCAATGCAGGAGCAGTGTTAGCCACACAAGGGGCGAAATACAAACACCCAATGAAGAAATCTGTCCTCCCTTTCGAATCGATTTTTTTTCAGCGGATAGCCACATGATGGGTTTTGTGCACTGCGGCGGGTGGCCGCATGAGGGGGTGTACGAAAGGGCAAGAGATAGATGTTGGACTTGGAAGGGAGAGCCCAGGAAGGAGGGGGGGAGAATGAGCGGCTTGGAGAAGGTATTTGCCGAAGATATGTGGTTATAGCTGTTGGATCGACCGACTAGGGTTCTTCTCTCAGTAGTGGGGGTTTGTGGCCTTTTTGCACTGGCAATTGAGGGGGAATGCATGATGGGTGCAAATGTTTCAGGTGGTACGAAGCCGAGTGGTGATGGGGAATTGAGTTTGGGCAATTCTGGACCATAACTATATGCTAGGAGGGAACCACTCGGTAGCTGGTATGCTCACGGTTTGGGTAGGGTAGATACGGTAAAATGTAAGATAGATTTGTTGATACTTGAACTTTAGCACTACTTCGCGAAAAGATTTGGGAGAGTTGGAATCTGTGACCCGCCTAACCCAACAAAGGAAACCCTAGGCGCGGGCTGCCCATGACCCAAAGCAACTTAGACCAGCTAGCGACCGGCATCTCTCTGAATGCAGGATTGATCTTGGGGCAGCATCGACATATGGAAGAAGGGTTTGAGTTCTTTCCTCTTCCCCCCCCCCCCCTTTTCTCCTCGAATAAGGAGAAAATTCTTGAAGTAATGAGAAGGGAGTAAAAGGGTGGGAGGAAAGGTATTGAAATGATGATTCAAAGGTAATAGTAATAATAATAATAATGATAATTAGGAAATTTGTTCAGCCGTTTGTCTGACGGCCGAGTGATGATGATCCACCGGTGATCCAAATAATCATCACCTCCTCTTTCCCCTTCTTCTTGTTCCCCTTCTCTTACACCGCCCCTCTAATATAATACTGTACATCCCTCCTCTTCTCTATTCCGCTTTCTCGTTCTCTCCTCATCCTTCTTCCCCCTCCTCTGTTAGTTGTTGGCGTTGCCATTGTTGCTGTATTACAACTGTAAGAGTGGCAGTGGTCGAGAGCCTAGCAGAAGAGGAAGACAAGAGAGAGCAATTGACTCACTGAGCTCAAGGGAATTCGGTAAGAAGAGCGAGGTGTTAAGTTGGATTCCTTCTTTCCTCCCTTCTTTATTGACTTTGCCTCGTTGGCTGTCATCCAGCGGGTCGGTCTGCCCGTCAGACGTGGGGGAGGAGCTCAAAAAAGGTTCTAGGCATCGGGCCGCCTTAAACCCGTTTGAGGCTCCTTGTCGGCTATCTCTCGACTTCTTTCCCTTTTCTTTTTTTATTTTTATAATTTTTCATCGCATCGCAACACCCTTCTTTTTATAATTCAGCTTTACTTAACCCCGTTCCTTCCCTTCCCACCACCCCCCCTCCCCTCCGCATCTTCCCGATACCAGAGCTATTGCTCTGAGAATACCCTTTGTTTGAATTCTCTGCCTGCCTTTGTAGACTGCACCACAATTTTGGTCCGGGGGAAAACAATTGGAAGGAGGAGAGAGGAAAAAAAAAAGATTTCGTTTGAAAAAAGATTTTACCCCCGCTTTCAACAATTTTTTCACTAGTTTTTTTTTTTTTTTGTTGAGTGCTCACGCGACCACCTATTTCATCATGGTGAAGCCAGATCCCGACTCACTAGGCGAGACAGCAGCCTCGACTACGGCTACAACGACGACGGCAACAGCTGCGCCCGCAACAACTGCAACGACAACAGCAACCGGACAGCCTCCAACAGTGCCTCCAGCTCCGAGCGGCAGCGCAGCATCGTCGTCAAAAGACCCAAGTCGGCCCAGGAGGAAGAAGGCGAGGAGAGCTTGCTTCGCTTGTCAGCGCGCCCACTTGACCTGCGGTAACCAATCCCTTCCCTCCCCCCCCTCCCTTCGCCTAGCCTAGCCTCGCCTCGCCCCGCATATTTGCGTTTGACATGTGACTAAAGGGTTCCTTTGCAACGGATTTTGTGGGTTCTAGGTGACGAGCGTCCATGTCAGAGATGTATCAAGAGAGGCCTTCAGAACGCTTGCCACGACGGCGTCCGCAAGAAGGCAAAGTACCTGCACGACGCACCGATCGATGATGCACCCGATTTCGCCGGGGGGTTCGCCCCCTACCCGACACATCGCGTCCCTGGGAATATAAACGTGGATATGTTGCCCCCGGATGGGACTATTAATCCGGGGTCGATTGAGTCTCCAGGGTTACAGGAGTCATCTCCTACGAAGGGGTCTGTCGGTGGCAGGAGTACCGGTGACGGTGGAAATGGCGGGGGAGCCGGAGGGAGTGGGAGCGGTGGGGGGCGTGGCGGTGGGAACTTTTCCGGAACTCTCCCATTCGACCCGAGTGATCCTGCCTTCTTCAATTTCGACATCGCGAGCTTGAACTTTGGGAGTCAATATGGCGCTCTCGAATTCGGAGTCCTCGGCCGGATGAGCGGACAAGCTGCCGAGGCGGACGACGGGAGCGTAGGAAACTACGCATACTCGCCGAGCATTGGGACTGGCGAGGGGTATAGCGGGTTCTCGGCCCCGCAAGATGACCCATCGCACTTCCGCGAGGGCTGGGGCGGTAGCCATGGAGGGAGGACTTCAGGAGCAGGACATAGCGTCGGGTTCGCGGGGACTTACATGATTGAGGCCGGACCGGGGAGCCTCACCAGTCCATCCCCGCCGGTAGAATCCCCGCGACAGAATTACATTCAGAATACGGCGCAGACTACAGCTGGCTCAGCGAATTACGATACAACGGCGACGAGTGGCCCCATGAATTCTCCCTCCTTCTACCAATCCGGCGGACACCATCGCCCTTCCCTCCAGCAGGCGCAATCAGCATCTGCAGCCCAGCAGCAGCAAGTCCCACAAGTCCAAGCCCCCATACGTCGCCGCAGACTCCCGGAGGACCCTAGCCAGATCTACAACTCTGTCGCGGCACCATACCCATACACGCTCCACTACCACCGCCTCTTCCACATGCTTGAAACCCGCTTCCCCAAACCTCTCCTCCTGCGCATCGCTCGGGCGATGGCCTCGTTCCGCCCTTCCTTCATCGCTTGCACACAGACGCTCAAAGCCGACGACCTCCTCTTCATGGAAAAGTGCTTCCAGCGTACCCTCTGGGAGTATGAGCGCTTCATACAGAACTGCGGCACCCCAACTCTCGTCTGCCGACGCACGGGGGAGGTAGTTGGCGTCGGAAAGGAATTCTGCATGCTTACGGGCTGGGAAAAGCAGGTTCTCCTAGGCGAGAAGGCAAACCGAAACATCAACGTGCCCGCTAACGGCGAAGTCGTTAACTTTCGGCCACCATCCGTGGACGAGTATGGTCTTGGTGGCGTTGGCGCCGCGGCCGGCGGTAGCGCGGGGGGAGTCGGCGGCGGCCTCGGAGGAATGAAGAAACCCGTATTCCTGGCCGAGCTCCTGGACGACGAAAGCGTTGTTGAATTCTATGAGCAGTTTGCCCGACTGGCATTTGGCGACTCGCGCGGCGCTGTCATGACGACTTGTAAAGTGCTCAAGTATCGTGCTGAGAAGGACGATAGTAAGAAGGATGGCGTAAGGGAGGTTCGTGGCATGGATGGCCTCGGCGCGAAGGATGGGAAGGTGGAGTGTGCATTTTGTTGGACTATTAAGAGGGATGTGTTTGATATTCCCATGTTGATTGTTGCGAATGTGAGTTTTCCCTCTTCCCCCCGTTTTCTTCGTGGGCGGGGTGGGAGCTAATAAGCGTATGTATAGTTTCTCCCGATTCTTCCGAGACCGACGCCTGAGGGGGGGAAGTAAATTTGCTTTCTTACTTTTTCTTTTTCTCTGCTATTTTATGTCGAGCCGGGTACGGTAGGGTTGTGTGTGTATGATTCTATGTGTTTTTGTTTTACCGCTCTTATCAAGTACGCTTCATCGGCTGGTTATTTGTTTTATTTACCTGAAAGTGGTGGGATGTAATGGGGGCAATGCACATCATGTATTTCTTTCTTTCCACCCCCCCTTGGGCTCCCGGTTTGTTTTTCAATCCTCGTCTCTCGTTTCTTGTATTTGGACCACAGTGCGTAGCTATAGACTCCTGAGAATCCTTTCTTTCCTCTCTTTTTATATCCTTTGGGTTTTGCTGGTTTGTTAACTTCAATTCTTTGTTTATACCTCGCGTTAGTGGGAATCGTGTACCGCTCGTTATTTGGGTGATTTGGTCCCGTTCTGCCTGCCCACCTGCCTACCCGGCGTAGCGATATACCATTGACTATTTTCTGTAATGTACGAGTATGTACTGCACCTACACCGCTCTATGTAGTGCGTACGAGTAAAAGTCTGCCGTTCGCTTCCTTGTTCTTGTGCGATAAATTTGCACGGGTACCGTGGCCCACCCACCATCTTAAAAATAAAAAAAAAACACACGGCGCTATGCTTGACTACAAGTACCGGTACAATGCGGTACACCTACCGACGCGAAAAGAAAATGACATCACTAGCTCTGGTAGCTCAGGGGTTAGAGCATGCGATTGCAGATCGCAGGGTCGATCGTTCGAATCGGTCTCAGAGCTGTGTTTTTTTTTTCCTTCTTCCTTCTTCTTTGCGCTACATTTGTCTGTTGTGCGATCGCCCGGTATGATAATGTGTCAAGTTATGGAATGCTTTAGGGGACTACTGTACTTGGTTGGGCTGTCGGGTTTCGGGATCAGGGTTGGCTTCAAATGAACGCGGAGGGTGGGGGAAGAAGAGGGGGGGCTCTTCAGGATCGACGAAGCGTGGCATAATTATCGGTAACGAGGATGCTACGGTACCTGCCCATACCATATCGCATTGCTGCCGGTAGATGGAGATCCTGACTACCGGTGCATGGGCTACTCTGCGGTACCGGTGAACCAGTAGTCTAATTTGTAGGCGCTCCTCATTCTTCCTCTTGTTTTGGGTTGCGGGCTTCGAGGATGATCCGTGCTGTGGGTGATACCATGCCATGACGGGTATTATGTAACTCACCGTAAGAGCATGATGTGTACCGATAGTATCTGAAATATCGCTATTATTTACCTTGCCATCCGATCACCGAGAACAAAGGCAAAAAAAAAAAAGACGTTTCAGATGCGCTGTATATCGGTTAGGTTCTATTATCGTATATCCGTCCAGGTTTCGAAATTGGAGAAATGAATTGAGTGGAGCGGTGGAGGGTGGATTTTTGTGTTTGTGCATTGGTGACATATATAACCTGATGCCGGAAGGGGGGAGATGGAAAGATGGAAATGATGTATGTGGTTAGCGGGAGTGTTCTTACGGGACGAGTACAGTACTCTCGCTCTGGGAAGTTGGTCGTGATTTCTGCAAGTTTGCTCTTGAGGCCAATATAAAACTTACCGGTATCTGTGTGGTCTGGTGGTGTGCTCTAGCTAGAGTACTGTACTGTGGCATAGTAACTGTAAAGTGAATATCGATCGTACATACCGTACCGGCACTTTTGATGGAATACGGTGTTGGAAATATCGTTCCTGTCGGAGGGAGGGTCTTTCTGGTATATACCGGTAGTATAGTGCTGTACCGTACCGGTAGGGCATGTATAGACTAAGGCTGTGTCTGACTGTACAGTACGTCCTGCTCTACGCCTGTACTCGAGTATCATCAACCTCCATCATTATCATGTTGTATCCCCCCTGTAGACTGCCTGTACTGTACCTGTACCTGTGCAGAACAGTAATCTCGATCCCAGAACTCCCCACCAAATATAAAATCCAACCGCTTACTGTATCTCGAGAAACGGCCTAGCGTAGCTTACAAATACTCAACAGGTTCTCCTAATGCTGGGTACAGTACAGTACAACGCTTGCGGAAGCTTACCGTGACCAGTGACCAGTTATTGATGGCATAATCCCGATAGCAGGATATGGGGGAGAATGTGCGGTGTTGATCGTGAGATGTATGAGGGAGCATGCCTGTATGTGTTAGGGCGGTGAGCTCTCAGTTGTTGGTGTGACTGTCTTGTATGTTATTGGGGAAACCAGTACTGTTAGTGGTGGCTTCCTCGCTTTGGTGTATTTAGCCTTCTTTTGGAGCTTCGGGAGGAAGATGAGAACGACTTCTGTCTCCTCACCTTCGGTCTTCGTCTGCGCCGTGATTTCCCTCCTCCCCGCTGCGCTCAGTTTAGCCATCAGAGCCATCAGTTATTGCAGACTCTGTTCCGTAACGGCCTATCCGTTATGGCAGCAGCGCTGGTGGATATTTTGAGCGTTGATATCGTTTGACTGCCGGTGCGGTACTTATGACTAGATTAGGGCATCATATAGTACTTGCTCCCTCCTATATCAATTCTAGCATGTGGGAGTGGTACCCGGAGCCGTAAGTATCTTATCTTATCTTATCACACACAAATACAGTACTAGTACGGTACAATGGAAGTGTATGATATGATACCATAAAACGCCCGGGGGAGTCAACGAACATGCACTAGTGACATGCTGTGTGGTGCTGGGATAGGGGCTTGGCTGACTGTAAGTGGCGAAGTAGTGAGTTAAACAGAAAAGAAGTAGTTTAGATAAATTTAAAATCACTATATTATCATGAGGATAGCACTCAGGTACAATAGATTTCACAACTCAAATGATATTTTTGATCAACATACGATGCTGTTCTTAACTCTTAATTCTGAATCTTTAAATCTTTCTCTCTACTGTACCTAGTCAATATAAATATCTGCAACATGTTTATGAGTAAATGGGAATAGATCTTCTTAAAGTATTGCAACAGTATTGGAATCAGCTACAGAAATGGTTGGAGTCTGACTGTCAATATCAGAATATTGACAATTCAGAAGATGTAGCAGTGCAGAAGCAGGTTAATGGCAAAAAAAACTTACTTCAGAGAAAGAAGGCTTCCTGTGCAGTATACCCTCTTTATCTTCAAGGCTAGCAGTAGATAAAATAGTTGGTGCTATAAGTTTGAGTTTGAGTTTGAATTACTCTTTTCATTGTGGTTAAAACATTCTCTCCTGTTTTATTTTTCCTCTGAGTGGATTAAGACAATTGAGAACTGTGACTGAAGATAGAATGTAGAAGTGTTGAAGGTTTGGACAAAATGCACTTGAGTACTTTTTAACCTAGCAGTCCTTTTCTTAAGACTTTGAGGGTTCTATCCTTAGCTATATAGGCTAAGGTCAGTCAACTCCTTGATTATAAGTGCCATATATAACAAGTTTTAAGTTGGAATTACAAAATTATAAAGTATGATAATTATCATAATTATCATACTCGAGTGGTTTTCATACCCCCCCCATGATACCTATACGGGGCGCACCGCCGAGCACGCCGCTCGTCACGGATGAGCACAGCCACGAGTGGCTTGGACTATCGTATCATGACATATTTATCATATCCCTCGTGCAACACACACACGGCACTGGGCTTCCTCGGGTAGACTGCCCTACCCCCCCTACCGTACCCCCCTCATATCATACCCCACTCGGACATGCCGCCGTGGTGGGGAACTCTTACCAGAAAATTATCATATCTGCCGATCATCCGGATCTCGGACGGGGGGATTTTGTTTTTCTGATGGTCAGGGCGCTCCAGGTACAGCACTGTACTACGGTACCGGCATTGCTTATATGGTGTGGGTGGTGGAGGAGGCGGGGATGACACCATCTTGTGTGATAATGTTGTGTTAATTTGTATTATACTGGTATAGGTTGTTTGGTCCAACTAGTGTGCAGTTCTGTACTCGAGTATACCGGCGCATTCGACAGTCATAATGCGGGATTACCTCTTTCTTCCCCCCACCCCCCCCCCTTGAGGTTCGTCTGTCTAAATCTGTACTTGCTGTATACTGCTGCATGGTCTGAAAGAGAAAAGCCGCATCTCATCCGTCTCGTAGGGGCCCCGGCCCGCGTGTGCTCGTACAAGTAATCGTGGCCGTTCCGACTCCCCACCAGCGGGGCGGCAACCCCGGAAAGGCAGGCGGAATGCATTCAAGGAATAATGGAGAATTTCATGTTTGGGCCTATGGTGAGTAAATGCCCATGGAAGCAAGCGTCGAATGGGGTCTGAGGGGGGTCTTGCTCATCCGTTGTATATTACTGTGTAGCGCACTACGGCACAGCATGGTTCGTGCGTTCATTCATCGAGATATATGCCTCTTAGTTTCCAAAGCGCCGAGTAAAAGACAAGCCCCTCTCCCTATACAAGAAACAAAACTACAACCCACCCATTTCACCCCATTTCACCTCTAACAGTAGCAAACCTACTCCTAGCTCTAATATCCTTCCCCCAAACGAAAAAGCAAATCATGACCGGCCCCATCCCCAAACTCAAAAACCCAAGAAGACTACTAGCCCACTGGTACCCCAGGCGTCTGTACATCTCCGTGCTGAAAAGCGGGAAACCGGCGGCGAACGAGCTCCGAACAAAAGAATTCGCGGCGAGAGCGCTGGCAGCGTATACGGGGTATGCTTCAACCGTGAAGGTGAATATCCCCGTGAACGCCAGTAGCGTTCCCATGCCGAAAAACGTCGTTCCAATGACTGGCAGGATCCAGTGCAAGTGCGGGAGTGTTGTCCAAGCGAACCAAAAGAGCCCGATGGGGGCGAGTATGCCGCCGGCGATGGCGGAGGGGAGGCGGAACTCTGGTTGAGATATTTGGTTGTGCTTGCGCACTAGGTGGGCGTAGTTTCTTTGCCAGATCGGCTCAGTTGATGCGCCCAGGCACATGCCGACTATTATCCCGATGAATGTTAGGCCGATTTGCTGCAGGGAGAAGTGGTGCACGTTCGCGAAGACTAGGGGGAAGGCTTGGAAAAAGAGGTACAGGATTCCCAGGAGGAGTGCTGAGAAGATGCATAGCAGTAGAAGCATCGGCTCAAATAGTAGGAGCTCAAAGGGGCGGGTGCAGGACCGCAGGACTGTGTGGGCTATGGAGCGGGACATCTTCTCAAGTGGCGCGCGGTAGCGTGGGTCGCCGGTCGATTTTCGCAATGAGACGGCTCGGTCTCGGAGAAGGACTGGGTGATAGGTTTCCGGGACGAAGATGTAGAGACTGGCCAACATGACCACCGACCAGATCATCAGGACCCAGAAGGTCCAACGCCAATTGACGTTCTGGTTGATGAAACCACCGATGAGGGGGCCCAAACCTGGCCCAATCTGGAATCCATCAGTTTTCTCGCTACCTTAATGTTATAATAGATCTTACAAAGGTCGAAGCGGTGTACAGCGTCATCGGAGCCCCGACTTCCGCCTTATTGAACAAGTCCCCCATAGTTCCACCAGCAACAGACAGAAACGCTGACCCGGCCATACCATTTAAAAAGCGGAACACGAGCAGCATGGCGATATGCCGGGCAAGCGCGCAGGGGAGTAGAAATAGGGTAAACAGCGAAAAAGAAATGAGGTAAATCGGTCTCCTACCGTAAAACTCTGACAGCGGGCCGAGGAACATCGGCCCGATTCCCAATCCCGCTACATAAAGGGATAATCCGCCAACTGCGGCCAACTGTGGAACATTAAACTCAGCCGTAACCTGGCGATAGGTGGAAGTATACATGGAAGATGTGCATGTCCTACCACATCACTAATCAGCACATACTCGAGTACTCGTACTAGTACACTACCGGTATTCTCATCACCAAAACGTTGCTTCCCGGAAAAAGCAAATAAGAAAAGCAATCTGGAACAGCGGATAAGGCGAAACTTTTCACTCACACACAAGCACCTCCCAGACAGACGACCCAGGCAGCGAGCCACTTGCGGGACTTGCTCATGCTCCGTGGATTGAGGGGATCAGCGTCCTCGCCAACCCACCTGACCTCGAATTCCTCACCACCGGCACTAGATAGCGCATCACCGCTTGTGTCAATAGCCCACTCAAGGTCTTCGCCGTGGCCGCATGACTGCGCCTTTAACAGTACCGTGCCCGTTCCCGTGATATCCGGCGGCACGGAGGGAGAAGGGATGGTGGTCTTCTCTGGATCCGCGACCTTTCGCTCCATTCTCGATGTGCCCGTACCGTACTTTGGCACTCGCTTAGTCGTCGCGACCGTCGCCCAATGCTATCGACAAAAACGGCCCACAAATCGGGAGGGGAAAGAGAGAGAGGAACGGTAGCATCTTTAAGAGATCTCTATTGGGGATTTGGGTGGGGGGGAGATAGAGTCGACTTTCTCTGAGGGTCGATGCGGCCGCCTTTTACCGAGAAGCGTGTGGGGCAGGCGGGAATTGGTATCCTCAGTTGAGTTAACGCCTTCCGATCGTGTAATTTTTTTCCTAGCTTTCCGGTTACTGTAACCGGGCCCCTTGCTCGTGCATGCAGCACAACAATGGCGAAGTTGAGGAGAGCTGCTGGAAATCATACGGCATAATAAGTTATATCGGCGGGCCAGGCTGTGAATGATTGTTGTCGAGGGGAATAGACTGTTCTGATACTCGAGTACCGGTGCTCGAGTCCGGTATTGTAGCAGTCGCTTTTAAAACTCCAACTGACGCTAGAGCCTTCTCGAAATGCCCCCTGCGTACATACAGGAACGCTGTGCACTGTCTCGGGCGCTTTTCTGCTATCGGGCCTCCCGCTCTCTCGTAGTGTCCACGCCCTTCGGTGGGACGGCTTCGATTCGTACGGATTTCACGACTCGCTAATTAGAATCTAGCATTCTGTGCGTTAGATGAGGCTTCGTCCGAATGGGGAACCGATAGGCTGAATACCATAGAATTTGATAGAGTCTGACGAGATCTTGCTTGCCCCTCCGTCTTTCTTGGCTCTTTCGTGGCTTGCTTGATTTTTTGAATTGAGGGGAAATGCCCATTTCGTGTATTGTACTCGTAAGTCACGAGCACGAGTGGTTCCCACACAACGCCTTCCAGCCTCGCAATCCTCCACGACATTAGTAAAGTTTACGTTTGAACCGCCACCACATGACTGCGTCCAGCACACTGCGATTCAGGGTCTGACGTCGGAGTGCAACGGCTTAATGGTCGGATAAACCGGAATAAGTTTCCGAGATTAACGGTAGGGGCCTGTTCTAGAGAATGACTAACCGCCCTCTGCCCCTGGACATGGAGCGGAGGTAGGCAAGTACTGTACTGTACCGTAAAAGCTCTTGGAATCCACTAAATTTATCTTCGGCAGCCCGTCATCCTACGATATTAATAGGTTTAGCATGACAGGTCAACAGGATTGCGAATACCGGTTAACTAGATCTAACTCACTCAGTGGGCTGATCTCCTTTTCTATTCCGGGAATACGATAGTCCTTCTTGCGGATTTTTGTTGCGCAATCCGAAGATTAGAGGGTTCGGACGGAGATAGTGGATTCCGGGAGTTTTTACGGTATCATACTCGAGTACCGGTACATTCTAGCCACATAAAGTCCGTAATCCACGGGCTTGGGAAGGGCTGTGGTCTGAGCGTTAGTGGTGTGGAGAACTTTGAAGTGACAGTGATAGCGTATGATGGAAGGTTAGGAGTGGGTGCGGCGATATAAGGGTAATGCGAAAGAAAGGGGTATTGTATCATATGGTAAAAGTATTGGCGTAGAGGTCGGAACGAAGGAGTGTGTGTGTGAGTGGTCGGAGGAATAGTAGGAGTGTATGGGATCACGAAGACACCACTCTTGCTAGAATACAGTAAAATTACTGCGCAGTGAAACAGGGAGCTCCTCAATCCCATCACAAACTTTCTGAGTGCTATTGTAGTTTTTTTCTCTCCCGACAACCTGAGCGAACTAATTTATGTCCCAAACCGCTAAAGAACATTTATACCCGGGGCCCAGCACCCCCTATTTCTTCATAACAACTCACTCGCGAATAGTCGTATGAGAGTCACAACAAAAAGTACTGTACAAATCAAACAAACCTTACGAGATTTAATCTGACAAAAGCTAATACCGGTACTAGGATACCAATTGACAATCACTAACCCCTCTGTATCCACTCTTACTCCTTTCAAAGATCCGTCCCCCCCTCATCGTCAGCATCAGAAGGGTTATCTGATAAAAATGCTTCTGAAACTTCGGCAATGGGTGATAAACGCCTCGGACCCCGCGGCATCTCATCTCCCGAGCTACGCCAGAGCGTCTCCAGTTCAAGCCCCTCCAGCTCCTCATTTATATCAATCCCCCTTCTTCCTTCTTGTCCACTCCTTCTCCGGCCGATCCTCTCTGTGGCATTCCTAAGAGCGCGGCTCACCGGCCCCCCTCGGATGTCTTCCCGGCTCCCCAAATGCTGCTGCCGATTCTCTTGTGATGCGAGCATTGATACACGTGGCCGAAGGCCCCCATGAGTTGGATGTCTCTCGTTGTTCTTGGCATCCATGATGTGTTTGTATTGGAGCCAGCCAACCACTAGGATTACCACTACCAGGAATACCCAGAAGAAGTAAGTTATCTGGCTTGGGCTCGGGCCCGGGGCTTCAGCGTCAGTCTTAGTGGCATGGGGGTCACCAGGCCGAGGAGTTGCGTGGGGCCAACTTGGGAATGGTTCTGTAGATGGATGGTGGGTGGCGGTGGGTTTCGTGAGACTTGGGGCTGAACCGGGGGTTGGAGGAGAGAGAGAGTGGTCTATCCGGAGGCTTGAATAGGGATGCTCCCCCTCATATGGATTTGAACGGCTCTTGAGCGGTATCGTAGACATAGTTGAAGCGAGTAGAGCTGTTTGGGAGGCGATAGTCAGGGGAGTGGGGAACGGCGGTCTCTGGATTTGAGATGGGATTTATTCAAGTATTCGTGGCGAAGGTACGTACCACTGAAACTTTGAGTGATGCCTCTAGTTTTAGTCAACTATCCATCCACACATGTAGCCTATCCAAATTCACCTAAACAAGCAACTTTGGCTTCCTTTCCGGTACGGGTGTTCAACTTGAGGCAGATCTAAGGACCAAAACATGCAACCTCTATCCAGATTAACTCATACAAAATCGCTGCAGAGGAAAAACTCACAACCCACGATTCGCAACCATTACGTGAGGGACCTAGCAGCAACACCGGGATATCGTGGAAGACTCACAACTCAAATGCCTTCTACAAACCAGCCACTCTGAGCCCGAGGTCACTATGATCCGGAGAAATGCCCACCATACTAGCCCCTACCCCATCTCACATCAAAAAGTTCACTCTACCGCGCAACTGGCTCCCAATCATTGGCCCCTCAAAAGATTGGAAATCCGGAGGACTGGGAGTGAAAAGTTCTGCGAAAGAGAAGAAATCGGAAGCACGAATCACTACTTCACGGTATGGCCAGGCACTGTAACACATTCAACTCCGCTTATCCGAAAATTTTATCAACCATTGTGTGATAGTCAGAATCTTTGACGATCCTCTTGAATTAAGGCATCGGGAACGGTGGGGTTGGTACGAGTTCTACCCGGCGTTCAGAAGTCGTGGCCAAGCAATGATCAGCCGGGGGCTTCTACCGTGCCCGGCAGTAGCACGATCATGGACATGGGGGTGGGGATATATTAACCCTTGGAAAATGAATTTGTAAATATTTCTTTTACAGTTTACCAACGGTATGATTTTCCAACGCTTCAGCGACAGTACGGAGACATGGGATGAAATGGGGTAGGTTTGGCGAACGGCAGCTTGTACTGTATAAGAGGAGGGCGTGGAGTTAGTATTGATCACGCATGGTAATATAATCTAGGGAATTGTATCCCACCTTCAAGCAGGCGGTAGGAGTTGTATCATAGCAGTAGGTCTATTTGAACCTCAAAGGTACCCTAGCCCTAAATATTTCTCCCAATAGATGTCAGAAGGGGCAATATCGCATCGTTAAATTTGACAGGTTATCGGATAGCGTGACCTCACGTGCTCCGTGACGCCCAGAATTACGCAGGGCATCATAGCGGGTCTATCCGCCTGGTGAAATTGGGTGATTCAAGAAATGGAGTAGAGTTCCCGGGGTAATTCAGGTTCTGTCATACCACATATGGGAATTCCCTACATACTCTTGCCCTACATGCTCTTGCCCCTCCTGCCCAAGGAGGATGTCTCTAGTGGGTGCTTAACTTCTTGCGGGGAAATTGGGTCCTATAGCTGTGTTCTGATAGTACAGTAAATTGCGGTAGGTCATACTAAGCGCAAGGAAGTGACGCGAGGTGACGGATTTGAGTATAGGTGTCGGGAGAGGAGGACGTCGTCGTGGTATACAGCTCACTTTAAAGCCCGTTTATATCTTCCAAACCCCGCTGCTTGCAAGAATCCATATCGAATGATATTCCATGTTTCTCATATTGACTTGCTATTGGTGGGGAGTGTAGTGCTAAGCTGTATTAGCGATCGAGCTATTGCGGTATAGATAGTGTAAAAGTAATTTCAACTGTTCCCGCAGCGACACAGGTCTCTGTTATGATACCCGAGCTTACGCTCTCTCTTTTTTTTTTTTTCAGCACAGAATATCTGGTGGAAATAATTTCAACCCTTGGGGGATATACATATATATATTGGAGGTGAACATCCACTGTGCATATGACTCCCCAGATCTTGATTAACTAAACAAAATATGTCTCAGTCCTGGCACCCTCGGCACTGATCCTGGGGCGATATCGGTCACCCGCTAGTTACCTTGTAGGACCCGGCTCGAAGAGGAAATGGCGGTAACGGCATTTCTTGCGGCTGGTTCGGTTTCTGTACGATACGTTACTGTAGATTGATTCAAGCTCGACTAAGAAAAATCTAAGCTACACCCCTCCCCATACAGCAAGAGAGGGGATCGGGTTTCCAACTATGGCTAATTTTTATCATAAGTTACAAGTAATTTCCAATTTCGGGACGCTATCACACAATATTATAATAATGCGCTGTGGGTTTCCTAATAAAAAACCTAGCACTACGGATGGTGAATCCCTCTGCTAGTCGGTCGATGGGCAGGATTATCATTTGACCTTCAATTTTGTGGTATCGTCTGGATTGATTACGCCGGCTACGGGGCACCTCTTTCTTTCTCAGGGAAATAGACCGCAAGCAAACAGGACCTTCTCCTTTCCTGCAATACTCCCTCTTAACAATGGGGACTTGGTTGGGAAGTGCAGAGATCTGGGGCATGAGACCATGGTATGTTTCTATTCTCACCATTTCCCTGGATAAACTTATAGCTTTGCTCTTCTTATTTGAGTTATTGGACTTTTTGGTATCGGGGGGTGGCCATGACTAAGGCTGGCGGTTGGGTGAGCACGCTTTTTTTTGGTCGGTTTGGGTTGGGTTTATGCCCTGGAGGGCTGGGTTAGGGAGCCAGTGTTTGGGTGGCAGGTGGGCCGGGTTTAACTGGCGATTAACTCGTGGGGTCTAGGGTATGGGTGTTGATCTTTGCAGGCGAGGGCGGGTTCCCTCATCCGGGAAACTCACACAGAAGGGATGACGTCCAACTTTGGTAAGGTATTGTGCTAAAATTCTGCTTTTTTTTTGGGGGGGGGGGTTAACACCGGATTTAATCGGGTTGGGTTTGGGATGGGTTTGAGGAGCTTCAACCCTGGTGAGCCAGCTGTAAGGCTGAGCACAATAGCATATCATACTTGCACAAGTAGAAGAGATATGGGACGTGACGCCGGAAATGAAAAGGACAAGGGTACACTAGTAGTGGGGGTATGTAGCTTGTGATACGTTGCAAATGAAAGTTATAAAGAAGGAAAGTATACAAATTATCAAGGGTGTCACTAATATGAGGTAGGAGAAAGATTACACCAAAACCCAATTGGAGAATAAGAGTGAAGCGGGATATAAGTGTCGGAAATATGGACAAACATTATAGACCATACATAGGAAATAATCACTACACGAAATAAAACCTACGACGCTTGTTGGTGATCGCTCGCGCTCACTCACGGATGTGGTTGGATCAAGGGCCATAGAGAATGAAATGGCATTCCCATTGTCATAGTGATCTTCAGCGCGATAGTGGGTAATTCGTAGACAGACAAGAGACGACGGAGACGGGAGAAGCGAAAAGACGAATGAAAACGGAAGGTGGAGAACGGAAAATGAGGAGAGACACCAAACAATTGGGGGGCGTTAAGTCTTGATCGTGAATGTCAAGACTGGCGGATCCTTTTCAAGGGGGGCTCAGATAGATCAGAAGACTCATTTGAGACGAGGTTGGTTGATTCATCGGCCTGTAGATTTAGGAATGAACCCCTCGACTTGAGTAGCAACTTTACAACTCCCCCGTGCCCATTCTGGGTAGCCCATGAAAGTGATGTCCTACCATTCCTATCTGTGAGTTCGGGTTTGACATCGTTCCGTTCCAATAGTATCTCCACAACTCTCTCATGCCCATTTTCGGCAGCCCACGAGAGGGGTGTTTGACCGTATTTGGTATCTACTGTATTTGGCCCAACACCTTCCTGTTCCAATAGCGCCTTCACAACTTCCTCATGTCCGTTCTCGGCAGCCAGCGAGAGCGGGGTTCGGCCCCAATGATCTGCCTTTTCGGGATTGACACCGGTCCGTTCCAACAACATCTTAACAACTCCCGCATGCCCGTTCTCGGCAGCTAGCGAGAGAGGTCTTCGGCCCCAGAAATCCGCCACGTCAGGGTTGATGTCAATCCCTTCCAATAGAATCTTCACGACCCCTTCATGCCCATTCATAGCAGCCAATGTAAGAGCCGTATTACCTTCGGGGTTCGCTGCATTGAGGTCCCAATCTCTGACCTTCATTAAAGCAACTGTTATATCCACAAGCCCGAGGAATGCTGCACCATGAAGCCCTGTAAATCCCTCAGGGCTATATTTCGTGTACCAGGGCTGCTTACGCCAATACCCTGTGTGCAATAAGAGCAGATTTGACGATAGATGCCTGTCGAATCCGTCCAATAGTGTTAGTGCAAACGGTATCATACTTTCAGTAGTTTCCCTTCTAGCATGAGTTCCCCAGTAACGGGAAGCATAATCTAGAAGGGGAGTTGTGGGCGGGGCCGAAGCCAGGGAAGGCGAAAGATCCCTGACGCACTGAAAGTTGAGGTAGGTTAAGCAAACCTCGGCAATCATAGCGTGCGGACTATGGAACAGGGTGGGATTATCCGCGAGATACTCTTGAAGAGTGTAGTGGACAAGGCGGATCGTGGGAGAGGACACCTCGACCGTGAGAAGTCCTAGTGAGTATCGCAAAACTGTTTCTATTCGAGGGATGTTCTCGGTATTTGGGTTTGGAGATCCTTTCTCTACTCCCAGCGCGTGGCACAACTCGACGGCCTGTAATGGCCGCTCCGAATACGATACCCACATCAGGGCCTGCATGGCAAGTCTTGATTTACCCCCCGTCTGCGCCTTCACTCGTGCTAAGGTTGCTGCGTACGCATCCCCTAGACTCTTCCCTTTTGTTGTCGCGTGGAGCATCTTCCTCCTCTGATGGATTGTGGCCTCCCCCATAATGGCGCTCATATTGAGGGAAACTAGGATGAATCTATAAAGTATTGTTAGTGAGTCACTTGGACTTGGTTGGGAAAGCGCCTGATTTTCCTACTCGCATTTCTGAGTTTTTCTCTGGGATTACCCTCATAATATCATCACGCAAATTGTCGTCCATCGCATCCGGTTTGGTGTCATTCCCCAGCTTCGAGACTAGAAATGTTTCAATGTCCTCTTTGGTAGGGCTTATGGGCACCACAACCGCCCCGGCGAAAAGTTCCTTTATTTCTTG